AAATAAATAAAATACAGCCTAAATCCATAGGTCCATTTATTATTAGACTTGCCATTTTTCAAAGCAGGTTTTGTCAGCTCCCAAGTACAAGCACACCAAATACAGTTTTACCTGTTCCCAAGCATCTAGTAACATGACATCATCTTCTGCTAAATCATCCTGGGTGAACTCTCCTGGAACCTCTTGAATCTGAAATGTATGAAAAAGCCTTAGGATCAAAGAGTAAAGCAATAATTTTTCTAATATATAGGATACCAATGCATTGTATTATTTTAAAGCACCACAAAAATAAAGTTTGTTAGTCATCTTTTTTTGTTCTTTCTGGGTAATAAAGATTTAGATAATTGTTGGGCGCCTGGGGGGCTCAGTCAGTTAAGCAGCTGCCTTCAGCTCAGGTCATGATCCCGGAGTCCCAGGATCAAGCCACACGTCAGGCTCCCTGCTCAGTGGGGAGTCTGCTCCTCACCCTGCTCTCGTCCTCTCTCTCTCTCAAATAAATAAAATCTTAAAAAAAAGATTTAGAAAATTGTTTATTTGTTTCATCGTCTATCACAAGCTGATGGAATCTTATCTGGGAAGCACAGTGCTGACTACGAACATGGCCCCTGAATGCCTCAGGGAGGCTACAGGCAGTCGGACCCCAGTTCCACTTCCGGTCCCTTGTGACAAGCTGCTTCACAGATTTCCATTGCCTTCCTCGTCCCTAAAGACATTTGAGTTTATGGTCTAAGTATTCAATTGTTTTTTATTGTGTAGGTCAAGATTATTTTAATAAAATCAATAGGTCTGGTCATTTTCTAAATCAACAATTTTTGACAAGATGATATAATATTTCATATGCAAAGTTTTCTTCTTCTTATTATTATCTTAAATGTGTTAAATCATGTTCTCTGTAGTTAACTTTAAAGTTTGCTAGGGAGGTTTAGTTTAACACACCCACTACCAGTGGGCAGGTATTAATCCAAAGTTCCAAATTTTTAAAAGATTCTGGATAACGAACCCCCTGACCCTTAGGAAGGTGTGGTAGATAGGGTTGTGGTTCTTAATTCTTCACTCCTTCCCTCTGCTGTGTGACTTTGTTATAGTACAGTCGAGTGAGTGGAGGTGGCTTTGGCCTTGGCCATGTCATATTAGCAAATGTGACTCATCAGGGGCCCTCTTGCATTCCTGGGCTCAGTTGTGGGAAAAACAGGCATGAATCCAGCCTGCAGCCCAAAGGAGAACCACCCAGCTGGGCTGGACCTAGGTTAACTTGGTCCCAGGCAACCTGCAGCCTTCTGAGCATAACACATATTTATTATAACCTGATGAAATTTTGAGACTGTTATACAAAAACAGACAAAAACTACTTACAGAAGGCAAAAACTTAGTTTATATCATCTTTTTTACAGAATATTTACCAATCACATAATGATTTAAAAAAGCAAAAATTTTAAATATCACTCCATGTCAGGCACTGTTCTAAATCCTTTATATGAACAACTAATTTAATATTCACACAACTCTATGAAGTGGGTACTAGGATTATCCCCATTTTACAGATGAGAATACTACAGCACAGAGAGGGTAAGTAACCAGCCTAAGGTCACACAGCTAGTAAGTAACATCACCAAGTAAGCGATATTGCACAGGCAGACTGGTTCCAAAACCTGTGTTATTAACCCATAGGCTCTGCTGTCTTGTGTGAATCTATATGTCTAAAGCCTGCTTTTTGATTATGATAACTAGATCAAATACTTTTCAGTGACATTTCTTTCCTTAAATTGTGAGGGGAATAGTCAGAGTTCCAAATACCAAACAAGAAAATCAGTTGGTGTAGAGGAAAAGTCCACCCCATCCCTCCCACCCCCCACCACTCCAGCAACCCTCAGTTTGTTTCCTGAGATTAAGAATTCCTCCTATCAGTGAGATCCAAAGACTAACAGATTTTTTTAAACCTGATGGAGAACAAAGCCTAGGTATTATTTTTGTAAAATACATCTTCATTGGAGACAAGCAGGTTATTTACAATAATATTAGCAAATAATACTAGTAAGAAATTATAGAAGCATTAGTTGAAAAAGAAGTTGGTTGGATGCCATATCAAATTAACAGTCAAAAGAGTAAAATAACAGATTTTTTCTGACAAGTTTCTAAAATACAAGGGTTTCCTAGAAAATAGGTGAGCTACTGTGGTGCCCAACAACCAAATATTTATCACAATTCGAATCTTTAATTTGAACCTTCAATTTTCAGGTCAAATCACTTATCATCTTCAAGTGTGGTTTGAATATGAGCAGTTTCTTCCTCAAAGCATTTTATTTCTAGCAAACAATGTAGCTGGGAAAAGACTTAGACGATTTTCATGTGCGTGTTGAAAAATAAAGCTTGTATTCACCAGGACATGGTGACCAAATCTTTAGATCAAATTTTACATAGGAAAGAAGTTTGTCCTTTAAACAAAAAATTTACTCAAAAACCTACATGTCAAACAGAGAAAAGAGAATTTTTATGCTTAAACTGAGATGAGGGGCTGCACTCCAGGATATTTTGGAGCCCAGTATAAAATCAGTCTGAAATTTAAAACCTGTGAATGACTATAAAATAAAACCTTCTTGCTGATTTCATTCAATTTGCAGGTGCATATGTAGCTTTTTATGATTCTGCCCAATGATCATAATATTTTCATAATATCTCTAGTCAGTCAACATGGTGAAACTTTTTATTCCCTGGGAAATTGAAGTGTAAAACTGACACAGTTTGATCAGAACCCACCACGGTTTCCCACAGAAAGTGTCAAATTATTAAATTAGGAAATCCAACCATATGCATATTCATATAGCAACAACCTCATGCTGACACAGGTGCAAAGTAGTTGATATTTTTCAAGAGCAGCTTGATTTATATAGTACTTTACAGTATTCCTATGCTTTCACATCCATTATGTCATTGACTCTTAAAACAAGCCTGCGTAGAGAGCTAAGACTATCATGTCTGGTTTGCAGATAAGCAAGCTAAAACTGAGACCCAGAGCACCGACATGGCTGAAAAGTGCCAGAGCCACCCCTCCCAATGTTGTTCAGTTTTACCCCAGTGTTTTGCAAGACACTCACGATGAATCGTCCAGTTTTGTTAGAGCAGCCGTAAAGCCGAGGCGGATGGTCTTCAGCCTGGGTTTCTAGCAGTGGAGAGGTCTGGTAGTGTTTTTTCCCTCCAAGGGAATTCCAAAACTCCTCTGTGAAAAACACAATGAGTTATCCAGTGCATTTCCAGGAGCACAGGGCTGGTCTTGCCTTACATTAACGAATGATGTGATTTCACCTTGATTTCAATGTTAGGAAATTATTTAAATATAGCGGGTACCATCGCCCAATTTTGCAACTAATGGAAGGATCTGTAATGCCCTATAACTGTTACAAGGGTCCTATTTATGAAAAAATAAATAAACTACATGATTAGCAATTATACCAAATGTAAGTCCTGGCTCGTGTCCTTGACCCCACAGTACACACCTGGTTCCTGGCCCTCCTGAATCTTTGTGGTTTTGCATTTGAGGACACTTGCCACATACTCTGCTCCTTTCTCCTCCTCCTGGCTAGCACCTTTTCCTATCCAGATGAAGCCACTGTTTTGTCGCAGTTTCAAGACAAAAACATCATTGGAATTCAAAGAATGTGCACCGACATCTACCTAGGGTATAAAGAAAAACAACACCGTGATTCAGATTCATTGCTACTCCCTCAATAAACATGTCTGAGAAGCTGTGACGGGGACAAACCACCCGTCGCCTTCCGTCCTGATCCCAAGGTGGCACTAGGACACCACTCTGGCATTAGAAACCTTAGTAGCTCTTTGCTCTGTATCACTTTAATGCTCAACTGCCCACAGACAGCAGCACAGGACTCTAAGGATAAAATTAGCCAAACTTAAGCGAGAAGTAACAAAGATAATATTCAAAGAAGCCATAAGAACAAGTATGGGCTATAATTGATGTTTGGGAAGTGGGTGTGATAGACACAAATGACACACATAAAGCAAAGATGTTCAGTTTTTCTCTCCCCCGCTAAAGAGGTTTTCCAAATAATCAAAGGGATACCTACCCAAAGCAGTCTACAGATTTAAGGCAATCCTTGTGAAAATACCAACGGCATTTTTCCATAGAGCTAGAACGAACAATCCTAAAATTTGTAGAGAACCACAAAAGACCCTGAATAGTCAAAGCAATCTTGAAAAAATACAGACAAGACTAGAGGCATCACAATTCCAGACTCCCAAGGTATATTACAAAGCCGTAGTGATCAAAACAGTATGGTCCTGGCACAAAAATAGCACACAGATCAGTGGATAGAATAGAAAACCCAGAAATACAGCCATGCTTATATGGTCAATTAATCTTTGACAAAGAAGGCAGAAATATGCAATGGGAAAAAGACAGTCTCTTTAACACATGGTGTTAGGAAAACTGGACAGCTACATGCAAAAGAATGAAACTGGACTACTTTTGGGCACCTGGATGGCTCAGTTGGTTAAGCGTCTGCCTTCGGCTCAGGTCATGATCCTGGGGTCCTGGGATCAAGTCCCACATCGGGCTCCTTGCTCCATGGGGAACCTGCTTCTCCTTCTGCCTCTCTCTCTCTGTCTCTCATTAATAAATAAAATCTTTAAAAAATATATTAAAAAAAGAAACTGGACCACATTCTTACACAATACACAAAAATTAACTCAAAATGGATGAAGGACCTAAATGTGAGACCTGGAACTACAAAAATCCTAGAAGAGAGCATAGGCAGTCATTTGTCTGACATTGGCCGTAGCAACATCTTTCTAGATATATCTCCTGAGGCAAGCGAAACAAAAGCAAAAATAAACTATTGGTACTACATCAAAATTAAAAAAAAAACAACTTTTGCACACCAAAGGAAACAACCAACAAAACTAAAAGACACCCTACTGAATGGGAGAAGATATTTGCTAGTGACATACCTGATAAAGGGTTAGTATCCAAAATATATAAAGAACTTAAGTAACTCAACACCAAAAGAACAAATAATCCAATTAAAAGTGGGCAGAAGATATGAATAGACATTTCTCCAAAGAAGACATCCAGATGGCCAAAAAACACATGAAAAGATGCTCAACATCACTACTCATCAGAGAAACCGCAAATCAAAACCACAATGAGGTATCATCTTACCCCTGTCAGAATGGCTAAAATCAAAAACAAAACAAATGTTGGCGAGGATGTGGAGAAAAAGGAACTCTCGTGCCCTGGTGGTAGGCATGCAAACTGGTGCAGCCACCCTGGAAAACAGTATGGAGGTTCTTCAGAAAGCTAAAAATAGAACAATCCTATGATCCAGTAAAGGCACTACTGGGTATTAACCCAAAGAATCTGAGAACACTAATTTGAAAGGATATGCACACCTATGTTTATTGAAGCATTATTTACAATAGCCAAATTATGGAAGCAGCCCAAGTGTCCACTGATAAATGAATGGATAAAGAAGAAGGGGTATATATATACAATGGAATATTATGCAGCCATCAAAAGGAATGAGATCTTGCCATTTGTAACAACATAGATGGATCTTCGGAGTATAATGGTAAGTGAAATAAGTCAGTCAGAGAAAGACAAATACCATATACCACATATTCACTCATATGTGGAATTTAAGAAACAAAACAAACAAACAAAGGAAAAAAAAAAGAGACAACCCAAAAAACAGACCTTAACTATAGAGAACAAACAGGGTTACCAGAGGGAAGGTGGGTGGGGGGATGGGTGAAATAGGTGATGGGGATTAAGAGTACACTTATCTTGATGAGCACTGAGTAATATATGGAAGTGTTGAATCACTATATTGTACACCTGAAACTAATATAACACTGTATATTAACTATACTGAAATTAAAAAAAAAAAACCCACAAAGGGACACCTAAAAATCATAAAACAGGGACTGGAGTCCAATTTTGGCAAAGAGATAACAATGCAAATTCACTAAAGGGGTCTCCAGGCTCAGATAAATTATCACTCAAACTGTAAAAGACTGTAGCGGATTATTAACACAGCACTGACATACCCCCTCCTTTCAACCAAGAAGCTGTGGCCACTGTCTGGGATTGGCCAGGTGAGCACAGTTGTGCTCCCTGTGGCCACAGAGGAATGAGGAGGACCCACCTGGGCCCAGACTCTGACCTGAGGGGGAGGCTGAAGGCGGACCGCCAGGGCAGGACAAGCATGTGCAGTCTCAGCCCTGGGATTGAGCCCGAGGGTCCTATGATGGGCTTCTGCCTTCATGTCTATGATCTTGGGATTCTATGACTCTAGTCAGACTCTGTGAGAACCTCTGTCTGACCACATGGCCATGTGACTAGGACAGTATGTGTCTGACTTTCGGCACCACCGTGGGACTCAATGTGATGAAGAAGAACCAGCGGGCAAGTCTGAGATGGAGCAGCCATGAGAGAGGAAGGAAATACAAGGGTGGTGTTCTGGAGGCCAAGTGCAGAGGGTGTTTCAAGCGGGAGGAGATGCTCAACTGCCAAATGATGGTGTTTGGCCAACTGGGTTGAGCTGCCATCAACTATGTGGAGAGCTGAATTTCATCAGGTTTACCAGGACACTGTCTCCAGAGAGAGCACTAGAGGAGGAAGGAATGGTTGTTGGAACTTTTATTTTTCATTTATTTATTTATTTTTAAAGTATAGTTGAAACACAATCTGTTGGAAATGTTAGATGTGTTCCAGGGGTTGCTAACATTCAGAGAAGTGGGTATCGTCCTTTTGCAGTAGGAACAAGACCTCTTGGACCAAGATTTAAAGGAATCTGCCAGATGTGATGATGGAGACTGATAAGAACCGGGACTGCCAATTTCTCATCCGAATGTCTCCTTATAGGTACAGAGGGAAGAGTTTGGATGACAGACAGACAGGGGATAATAGACCCACACACAGACTAGTGTGGCATCAGGGAAGTAGTTCCAAAATAGAACATTATAAAGCTTTAGCCTCCCAGAAAGCCTTACAAACAATGATTTTGATGAGCACATTTCAGAGAGACTGGGAATGTGAAGGCCAGTTTGACAGGCTGCAAGCAAACAAAGGAACCATATCACAAACAGCTTGCATGTCTCATAAAGATGTGCCTGCTGGGAAGAGATTAGGAATGCAAGGATTCTCGACTCTTCCATCTGAAGTCAGCTGAGAGTGCCTGCGGAGGAGAGCTGTTCATGGTTAACTTGATAGATTTAAAAAAAAAAATAGTCATAATTGAATACATGAGAATCCATGTACAGAATGTTCTAGATGAAGTCAATACATATGATGTCATTTAAATGATATGACTGAATGAGATCGCCATGGAGAGGGCCAAGACTGAGCCTTGGGGGTTTGGAGGACGGGCAGAGGAGGAGCAGCAGAAACCCAATTGGCATAAGTGGAGTGAAAACACTCTTCGGAAGCTTGGAAGAAATCTTGGTAAGTGTGGTTGCTCCAGAGTCCTAGTGAAAAAAAGTGTTTCAAGAAGCTAGGGAAGGGCAACTGTGGAAAAAGCCAGTGGAAGGCTAAGGAAAGGGGTCAGAAAAGATACTTCTGACCTCTTGAAAGACGGGCACTAGGTAACAGGCTAAGAGTGGCTGGAATGATGCCCAAGGAGAGTGGCTTTACAGAGAAGAGGCTTAACCATGTAGGGACAGGGAGTGAGTGAGGCCAATGCTTTTGAGGATCTGTGCTTTTAAGGAGGTCAGAGAAAGGATATGGCAGCTGGGAGGATCGGGGTTAAGAGATAGTTTTTAATGGAAAACGGGAGTGTTTTGAAGGCATGCTTATATTCTGAAGTAAATGATCTGGAAGAGAAGAATACACTAATGCTAGAGAAGAGAAAGATTACTGCCCGCCATAATGATGAACTGGACGTGAGGTAAGAACATGGGACAGAGGGAAATTCAGGAAAGTAGGAAGTCAAGAGGGTGGGGGGCGGTTCTGGACGGAAGTTGGGGGTTGTGGTGGTAGGAATTTCGCCTTAGGACGGGAGTCACATTTTATTTGTTTATGTAATATATTACTTTTTACAAACATTACTTTGTAATATTAATTTATGGATAAGAGCATGTTGATATTAATTTTTAAAATAATTTAGTATTTATATGTAAGTAACTATTATAAAATACTTATAAATTGTTAAATATAAATAAATTATATTTATTTCATGAAACAGGCAGGAAGGAGAATATATATGTACAGACAGGGGCATGTTGGTGACACCGGTGGGGGGTAGATAAGGTGACTCTTGTGTGATTACATTTATGTTCTCTGAGAACTCTGACTCAGTGCTCAGTGGAGAGCAGGCATTTTGGAGGTTTGGAGAGAGATGACATGAAAGGTGTGATGGATGGAGAGCGTGCATGGATTCAGGTTTGAGACTGGAAATTGCTGGGATGTGCATCCTAGAGCAAAGGGGCCAAACGACAGGAGAGGGTTGTCAGAGATTAGGTGTTGGAAACAGATTTCCAGAGGTGCTAAAATTATAGTAAGGTTTAGTACGGGACCACATGAGTGTGAGATGAAAGGGGTCAAGGACAAGCCAGAGGGATGGAGTTAGTGAGACAATGGCCAAAGCCACCAAAGAATAAGAGGGGAAGGACGGGCAGCTCCATGGATGATGGCACAATGATGCCGAGGGAGGGAGAGACTGATAAAAGTCAAGGAGGCAAGAGTGAGCAAGGAGGGTAGCCCACCCACACCCATACCTGGTAAGAAGGTACTGAGGAAAAACAACTTCCCCTCGTGAGGGTCGTATGGGAATCTGTATCCTCAGAGGATAGCCATAGAACAAGAAGGTTAATTGGCAGGCTGGTTTAAAGAAGAGATTGCAAGTGGAGGGTATGCCATGACCCAGCTGGTTCCAAGGGCTCGGCCAAACGGCTTGTGCAAAGGGCAAGGCTTAGCAGGTGGGTCCAGGTGTGGGGATTTATAGAATATGTTGGGCAGTTTAGGGGTGATGGGAGAGACTTGGATTTCAATAGTGAGAGAGATGTCTAGATCATGAAATGTGATGGATGGTCCTAGAGGCAAAACGCTCAGCCATTTAAACACCTGGGCCTGCTGGCTTGTCCATACCTAGAGGTCTTCTTGTCTTCTGACCTGTGACATGGGGTTTGATTTCTTTCTCAGCTGCTGTCAGAGACGGCTTACTTGGCCAGTTGAGTTATGGTTCCGGCCCGATACGGTGAAGCTGGCTTTCCACATTTGTTACACTTGTACACACAAGGGCTTTCCCTCTCAAATTTCCCGTGTGACCACCTGACCATCACCTGCCATCCATCTTCCCCTAGGCCTTTCGAAGATAAAGCTTCGGGCCTTTGACCATTTGATTTGTTACCTTACTCTTAAAATTCTTCTTCTTCTGGGGCGCCTGGGTGGCTCAGTTGGTTAAGCGACTGCCTTCGGCTCAGGTCATGATCCTGGAGTCCCTGGATCGAGTCCCGCATCGGGCTCCCTG